AGGGATCTCAGTGGTGTTTGTTGGGCAGTTTGCAGAGAGCTGTGAGGTAGCTTTGTAGCTTTTGTGTCTCTTCCCAACAGCTACTTCACACTCTGGCTTGTAGCCATGTCAGCTTGACATAGAGGGAATGTGGAAGTGACATTCACATCTGTTTCGTGCCTGGGGATAAATTGAAGTTTCATTGCTTAGTTTGCAATTCTCATTCTTTGCTTCAATATTGGATTTACTAACAGGGGTTGGTGGTGCTGCTTAGCTTTGACCAAGTCCAACACCTCTCTCTGTTGTCATCTCTGACTCCAGCACTGTCATACTGAGTGAGAAGTGGCTTCTCATATCACATGTGTGTCTGTTTTTCAGCTGGACAAAACTGACAGAAAGGTTTTTTAAGAACACTCCATGGCCAGAGGCTGAGGCCATTGCTCCTCAGGTTGGAAATGGTGAGTCTTCCATTTTCCTTTGTGTTGTCAGAGAGAGAAGGAACTGAATCCCTCCTGATCCTGAGTTAGCAGGTGCGCAGCTTTGTTACTGCCTGACTCAGTTGCCTTTGTTCACTCTGACAACTCCTTCAGCAGATGCCTGGCAAGAAGCCAGACTTGAGCAAAGTGTCTTTTAGTGTCTCCCTTTATTGTTGTGGCAGGAGGCTAATAGGCCTTGTGGCTTGCTAATGTCCTCTTCTGTCGTGTTTTCCAGATGCAGTTTTCCTGATACTATACAAGGAGCTGTACTACAGGCACATCTATGCCAAAGTCAGCGTGAGTGTTTGCCCTGTGTCTTCTTGTGGGTTGCATGCTGGCTTCTCTTTGCCAGCAAACTTGACAAGTCTTGCTGCCAGTACAGTATCAGTGGTCCCCTTACCTTTCCAAGGCAGCATTGGATGGGTTTATGAGCTGCAAGTCACATTGATTTTAGGAAAACTTAAAATTCCTGCCTTTTCTTAGTTTAGTAAGGATTCACTGGGTACTGAAAAGCAAGAAAGACTTGATTGTCCATCTGAGGCTTGTTAGCTGTCTCTTCAAGCTTGGTGGTGATGAGTGTGCAGGTTTCTCTGGTAGCTCAGGTGAATCAGAAGATGATCTGAGTGTTCAGGAGACTCTGTTGCTAACAGCAAATGTAATGGTGAGTGATTTAGGGAAGAAGGGGGTGTTGGAAAGTAACTGAATTTTTCTGGTTTTTGCTTATTTGTGTTGCTTTGTAGCTTCTCTTCAAATGAGCAGGCAGTGAGAAGCGGTGTCACAAGAGGAAGGTGCATTATTTGTCATTAAAAACCTCACGTGGGATCAGAGTGCCTTGTGAAAAGGGAAACATGGCTAGCATAAAGGATGGAGAAGAAGGAAATGAAGGGAATAATGCTCAGTGAAACAAAACAAACTTTGCATTTTTTTTTAAGCTGCTTTGGAATCAGTGAGAAAGTCATAATACTTGGTTCTTAAAGGAAAAAATCTCAGCAGATGCATGACTTATGGGTAAATAAGTAATAACTGCAGTTTTACTGTGGACCAGAGGGTGGAGAAATGGGCACTTTTAAAAGGCTGCTGTGTTAACCCAAGCCAGGCTTCAACAGGAAAAACTGGTTTCTCAAGATGTGCTGTTAGTAGTTCTCAGACTTGGTGTCTCCAGCTGAGACAAGAACCAGTAGGTCAAAATGTTTAGAAATGATGTCCAGAAATAGAATTGTTGATCTATTAAGGCTTCTTGTGAGCAGAGAAGGAAAAATAAAGGTAGTAGGAAGTTCTTGAATCTGAATAGCAGAGGGGAACAGGGGAGGTTAATGCAGAATATTCATAGGAAGTTTAACTGCTCAGCATCTTGGGAGAAGCTACCTCTACAGGAAATGTCATCCCTGTTTTGTGGGACAACAGTGCTACAATTTCAGGTTTTCTGTGTGATGCTGGTGGGTGTCCTGGCTGAATACTGGCTCTAGCACTCCTGAACTAGATCCTTTACCATTGTGACTGTCCTTCTTGTGCTGTTACCCATGACTCCACCCTGTTACCATGCTGTTACCATGAACTACCCCCTGCCCTGCTTGAAATAAAGCAGACTCTGCTGACTTCTCTTTGCAGGGGGGGCCCACACTGGAGCAGAGATTTGAGTCCTACTACAACTACTGCAATCTGTTCAACTACATCCTCAGTGAGTCGCTGCAATTAATTTCTGGTTTGTGAATTTTGGAGAGAAAGATCGGATGGAGAGGGCAAAGCTGAAGAAAGGTCAGAAGAGCTGCAGTGTTTATAAGAGCTTAATGTTTATAAATCTTTGGGGGAAAGGTAGTTTATAAGCTCTCTCCATGTTTGAATTTGTTGAATGAAGAGCAGTTTACATCCTGTTGTCAACTCCTCTTGGAACAAATGTTAGTGTTTGTGACTCTCTGCCAAACCTCATGTGGAGAATGGATCAGTTAGGATAAACCCCTGCAATCTGTGTTTTCTTGAGAGTTGATGCTGCTGAGCAGTCACACTCAAGAGATTAACCCTTTGCATGTTCACAGTCTTTGAAAGTGAAAGCAGTTGAGGTAGTCAAAGCTGCATATCTCAGCCCTACTGGAAGCTTCATCCATCTGCTGCTCCATCTCCAATTTCAGGGAAATTCTTGTGTTCTTTAATTTGTCTATTTCTCCAGTTCTGACAGTACTCTTTCTTGCTGAAGGTGTTAACCCTCTCATTTGTTCTCCTGCAGATGCTGATGGCCCTGCTCCTCTGGAACTGCCCAACCAGTGGCTCTGGGATATCATTGATGAATTCATATACCAGGTATGTGATTATAAAACTGGACCATTTCAAGGTGGCCTTGCCTTTATTAGTTGTATAAATTTTCCATCTCTTCCCTTGCTGTGATTTCCATAGCAAGGGTACTGTTGCAGGTTGAAAATCTTTGGTGATCACTGTTACTCTTGTGTTACCAGGTGGATGAAGTAGTTGTAAACGTACAGATTTTTAAGTTACAGAGTGCCCTTTAGGGAATCTTGAACTTTTGTGCCTGTTTATCTTTCAGAACAAAATTCCTGTCTTTTTTAACCATTAGGGCCTTTATGCATGCATTGAGAGATTGATGACCTGATTTGAAATAAGCTGTGGTCTGAGATCTTGACATTAAGATTTTTACACTGAGTGCAACAGTACAGATCACAAATGCTATTGGTTTTTCTCTGTAGAGAATATATTCCCATTTCTGTAACTTTTTATTATAAAGTTGCCTGTAATTCCTCAAGTGTTGTCTTGTCAATCTTGAGAACAAAAGGGACATGTGCATATAGGGGAAGAAGATGTGTGTATGCAAACATACAATAAACAATCTTATAATTTGGTCATTCTCTTTTCAACCTGTTCAGACAGCAAATTTGTGCTTAGTTGCCTTTCCTAATTGTTTAAGAGTTTAATTTTCTGCTTTGATCTGTCTCCTGGCCTTTCCCTCTGTACTGTAGAACTTTTTAGGTGCTTTAAAGGTGATATAATCTGCCATTTTGATTTCCATGTGATCTCAAACGAAACTTTTTTTCAATGCAACTTGTAGTTTACTGTAATGCAGTTGTGTCAGCAAGTTGTAAGCTTAGTGCACTTAGCTGAGCATCTCCAAACAAGCTGCACATCATTGAATCTCTGCTTTCTCCTGTAGTTCCAGTCTTTCAGCCAGTACCGCTGTAAAACAGCCAAAAAGTCTGAGGAGGAAATTGATTTCCTTCGTTCCAACCCCAAGATCTGGAACGTCCACAGTGTTCTTAATGTGCTGCACTCTCTGGTCGACAAATCCAACATCAACCGACAGCTGGAGGTCTATACAAGTGGAGGTGAGCTTTGGGTGGTGCCAAGCAGCACTGGTGTCTGTGCTGCCTTGCTTTGATTTGATCCAAGTCTTAACTTTATTTGGGAGCTGCATCAAACCCATGATCAGTGGATGGATTGGCTGGGAATTGGTTCTGTTAGCCTTAGGTGAGAAGTACCAGTGATTACATTTCAGGCCTTGCTCCCTTTGTTTTAAACAGAAAAGTATTGAAAGGGAAGCTTGCTTCCTTGGAGGATGGCACTGTGGTTCCTTTTTTCTCTAGGTGATCCTGAAAGTGTGGCTGGTGAATATGGGCGCCACTCCCTGTATAAGATGCTGGGCTATTTCAGCCTGGTTGGGCTGCTGCGTCTGCACTCCCTGCTGGGAGATTACTACCAAGCCATTAAGGTGCTGGAGAACATCGAGCTCAACAAGAAGGTACTGCAACATGCTTTAACCCTTCTTTTGCAGTCTTCCAAATGTCTCTGTTCAAGCATGCTGGTGAAAAATTGCTGTACTGAGTCTTCCAGCTGAGGAACTGTTTGTATCTGCTGTAGTTGTCGGGAGTTTGTGGCTGAGCACAGCTGGAGCTTTGGCATTAAATCAAGCCATATGATAATGGCTGATGCTGTTGCAGCACAATTGCCCAGTTTTTTAGGAGGTTTGCCGTGTTGTGCAAGGCAGTGTTGTTACAGAGAATACTGCTGGAACTGCAAGTGGTAGTGCAGCAGTAACTACCTGAACACGCCATTCTTACCTTTGCCAGTGGCTTTTTCTTGTATTTTTGGCTGGTGTTCTCACTGTGCCTGATTCCACCTAGGCTGTTTTTGCCTTAGAATTGAGTGCTTCTTGTGACCATTAAAAGTTCAGCTGCTGTGGGTTTGGGCCAAGGCTTGGCACAGATCTACATACATACTGTCTGGCACAGGATGTGGAATGAAATAGGGGGAAAGGGAACCGACCAGAGCAATGCTGGGCACAGAGCAAGAGTCCTCTCCTTGCAGGAAGCTGAAACTGGAAAACATAGGAAATGGGATGATCTAATAAAATAGTGAGGAAGCTGCTGCAGGGATGGGCAAGAGGTCTGGTATGCTGAATTAACTCTCTCCTTTCTGTATTTGGGATGGGAGTGAAATCAGGATTTCACTTCACCATGGATTGTGGCTAGCATGCAGTTTGGATTGTTTCCCCTCTAATGCAACATGTTACTCCTTCCTTCTCAGAGCATGTACTCCCGGGTGCCTGAGTGCCAGGTGACCACCTATTACTATGTGGGCTTCGCATACCTTATGATGCGGCGTTACCAGGATGCCATCCGTGTCTTTGCCAACATCCTCCTCTACATCCAGAGGACAAAGAGCATGTTTCAGAGAACGACCTACAAGTATGAGATGGTAAGAGATGGAATAACTAGACTTTCCAAAAGAGAAAGCTGCTGTCTTCTTTCCCATCCCTCTATTACCTGATAGTTTATGGCTAATAGTCCAGCTCTATTATCCTGGACTTTGCTGGTGGTGTTGACTGGGGATCCTCTGAACTCCTTTGCAGCAAGTGACAGTATTTTCTCCTAGCTATGTTACTAGTTACTTTGGGCAGGGTTGTTAATGAGTATCAGCTGCTGATGATACTCTTGCTGATGCTCCTTCAGGCTTAGTTGTGTTTCTGGTCCAGTGCTGCCCTTCAGGTTGCTGCCATTGTCAGATATATTTCCATTATCTGATAATCATTCACAGACATGGCTGTAACAAAGCTCCTTTTTCTTTCTACCTAAGCTGTTTTACCTTCTGATTTTGGTGCCTGTTTTACCTGCTGTCTCCTTTTTATCCTTATGATTAATTCCTAGCTCTTCGTTTAGCCAAATCCTGCTGGTCTGAATTCCATGACACTTCAAAAAGTTTGTGTGTCTGTTTCAGCCATGCAACTGTCCATTTCATCCCACACTCAAATAAATCTCCTTTCTCAGTCTTTTCTTCACTGACCTCCCTGATAACTGTCCCTTGCCAGGAGATGGTTGTTAAACTATCTGCTTTCTCTTCTCTGCATGTTCTTGTACCAAAACAGTCAAATTCACTTCTGCCCCTCTGGGTTCTGCATGGCTCTGGGTGCATTTACTCTGCACCTTCCTTTTGTCCAGCCCTGTCAGCCTTGATGTGTCATTCATCCATTTGCTTTGCCCAGAGGCACTGCTTCTTTGTGCTGTCCCCCTTGAGCATTAGCACCGTCAGTGCTCTATGGAAAGGATCTTCCTCTGCAAAGTGCAGCTGCCAGCTCCCTTGGGCACCCTAAAGCCTGAGCACACTGTGGTGCTGACGGGGTCTCCTCTCTGTCTCAGATCAACAAGCAGAACGAGCAGATGCACGCGCTGCTGGCCATCGCCCTCACCATGTACCCCATGCGCATAGACGAGAGCATCCACCTGCAGCTGCGCGAGAAGTACGGGGACAAGATGCTGCGCATGCAGAAGGGCGACGCGCAGGTCTATGAGGAACTCTTCAGTTATGCTTGCCCCAAGTTCCTGTCCCCTGTGGTGCCCAATTATGACAATGTGCACCCCAACTACCACAAGGAGCCCTTCCTGCAGCAGCTCAAGGTCTTTGCTGATGAAGTTCAGCAGCAGGCCCAGCTTTCAACCATCCGTAGCTTCCTCAAGCTCTACACCACCATGCCTGTGGCAAAGCTGGCCGGCTTCTTAGACCTCACAGAGCAGGAGTTCCGTATCCAGCTGCTCGTCTTCAAACACAAGATGAAGAACCTGGTATGGACCAGTGGCATATCTGCCCTGGATGGAGAGTTCCAGTCTGCCTCTGAGGTTGACTTCTACATTGACAAGGTTGGTATCTGCCACTTGCTGGCATCTGCCACTTGCTGGCTGGGAAATTCTTTCACCCAGGAAATTATTTCACTGGCAGCACTTAGTTTTGTTCCATTCTGTGGGAGACATTCCTTCTTCCTTTGCCATTTATAGGGCTTGGCTACCCACAGTGAAGTTATAGCCCTGCATAAAAAGAGTGTCAGTGCATGAAGAGAGATGGAATATCAGAGGCAGCTTTGGCAGTCAGCATACTAGAAAACAGACACTTTCCCAGGACATAGGGAGCTGCTTGTCAGTGTTCTGGGTGGTGATAATTGAGTGACAGGTAGTTTGTGTGTCAGGTGGGATTGTCCTTGTAGTGTCCCCCACATCTCTCCCTTCTTTGACAAAGCAGAGATGCTGTTTGGTCGTGTTACAGGTCTGCTTTGCACTGAAACAGCATTTAGTTGTGGCTGCTCTGGGAGGAATGTAAACACAAGGTGTGGGGCTATCACCATCTGCACTTGGAGCTCCAGCAGCAGGAAGTGTAGCAAAGAGTCTTGTAGGACTTCAGTCAAAGAAGATAGCAGTCACCATTAGGTTTCTTGCTAGGAAGGAGACCAGGTTGCCCTGTGTCTTGGGCCTTGTAGCAGACCTTGTTTTGCAAGGTCTCATGCCATGTCTCAGCCCAGCTCTCGTGACATATAGCATGACTGAAAAGAGGGAAACATGATCTGGGGTTGGAACTGTCAAACTGCTGCAAGGAACAAAAACAGAGTGTGTAAGAATGTGGGAAGTGAACACAATGTGAACTGGGGAGCCATCCCAGGCAAAAGGTGTGAGGGAAGGCAGCCCAAGGAGAACTGGATGGGTGCTGTGGGACTAGGCAGATCAGACATGTATGGTGCTGAACCATGGCTGGGGTGAAGCTCCCTAGGTTGATCCATGTGTTTGGCAGTTCTTGCTGAGTTGCAGCACAGTCCTTTTCCTCATCTCATCATGTTCTCTTCCCAGGATATGATCCATATTGCAGACACAAAGGTTGCTCGACGTTATGGGGACTTCTTCATCCGCCAGATCCACAAGTTTGAGGAGGTGAGGCCTGGGCAGGAGAGCTGTGTAGCTCTGTAGGAAACATGGGGCAGTCACTGGGCTATGCAGGCCCTTGAGGATCCACACTTGTGTGAGACAGCTGTGTAATTCCATGCTGGACTTAGCCTTGGCTCTGCAAGGCACTGGGCAAAGGCAGGTGTTCTAAGCAGCAGCTGCTGGCCTTTGAGGAATGGTGTTTTTGTGAGAAGTGCTCAGTTGGGCCACAGTGGAAAAGGAGAAGAGTTAACTGTCCAGGGATGCTGATTCCATTGTCCCTAGATAAATGTGGTGTCCCTGTCATTAACCCAACCAAAATCGTATCTCTAACTTCATAACTATGCCTCTAGAAAGTGGTCTCAGAGATTTCTGGAGCATAGATGGCTTCAGCATTGGGCTTGGCAAGGAGGTGACATTCTGTCACTGCTACACTCTCCCAGTGGAGATTCTTATGCACTGGAAACTCGGAGGGCAAAATACTGAGATGTGGGAACTTAATACAGGATTGTGATACCACTGCTACAAGTTTGAATCTTCTCCCTGCGTCTTCCTCTGCTCTCTTGGAGAGGAGACAGTTCTACTTATTCCCCTTCTGCTTGACACACTGTATTTGCTCAATTGACTCTCTTGTCAGAGAGTTGGAGAGGAAGGAGTTAAGAAGCACTGGATAAAGTCTGCTGAGGGCAACAGCAGTGTGTATCAATCACTGTGTATTTTTCTGATCTTTGCTTTTTCTAATTCCAGCTGAACCGGACATTGAAGAAGATGGGCCAGAGACCCTAATGTGGATGCAGTGCAGGCCTGGGCAGAGAAGTGGGTGGGGAGAGATTATTCTCTGTGTTGAGGGAGGGGAGCTCAGGGTTCTGGCATTTCTGGAATCTCCTGTGACTCAGAAGGTATTTTGTATTTAAATATGCAGACTTGTTTGGCTCAAACTATCCTACAAAGGACAAGACGTCTAATAAATTAGTGGAATTTTCCTGATGAGCATTTGTATTCATTTATTTTTCCCCTGTGGAAGAATATAACTGCATCTGGAGACATGGGCTGCTGCTGTTGGCTTGTGCTCTCGTTGGTTCATGTTGTTGCAGGTAGTATTAGGGACCAGCTCTGTTTATACATTGACCCTGCACAGCAAACAAGGAAGGCTGCAGAACTGATGGACAGGAGAAAATGAGCAGTTCTACAGTGTCTTCACAGGATATGGGAAGAGATAATTATTCCTTTTAGCTAATATTATTCCTTTTAGCTTTTACCACATATATTGAATAGACCTGAGTTGTAGTTAATGTTCTTAGAAGATTGCATTTTTGCCTTTCCTACCCTCTGTTTTATTTTAATTGGTATGGAGCAGGAATGCTCCAAAGTGGACTGTCATGTTTTTAAAGGAGAGGGGAGAATTTCTGTAAACATTGAACCGATATTAACTGGTCATCTGATGAAATGTCCTTGCTGGAGGTTGTGTTTTATTTCAGAAGAAGTGATGCCCAAGACCTAGCCCTTAATTTAATTGAGTTCAGTTTCTCTGGAAAACTCCCCGAGGGCCTTTAATTTATTAAAACACTTTAAGTGCAAATTTTCCTTGCTCTCCAGCAGAAAATTGGTAGTGCCTTGAAAAAGGGGGGAAAAAAAAAAGTTGAAAACAAGTCACATAAAAGGGAATCAAGGACCTGCAAGTATTGGGGAAGAGAATGCAAAGAATGAATCGTATCCCTCCACACCCTCTCTCCCTTTTGCCATCTTTAAATAGTTGGATGTTTGAGTGGTAGAAACAGGTGCAAGGGGGAAACCTGCATGTGTAATAAAAAGCTACACAAAGGATGTTTCAGATACACCATCTGCCTCTTTGCACCGCTCCCTCTCATTCTCTTCCACTGAGAGAGGGGTCCTAGCAGTCCAGTTTGGCTCTCTGTGTGATTCTGTTTAAATAAAGGGAATAATTAGCCTTTGTTGGATTATATTCCTGTGTTTGAATGAGGGTCAGGTTTCCAGTGTCCTAGATACTGCTCAAAAGTAAACACTGCTTCCCATCACAAGTAACCTAGGTGGGCAGGGTGCAGGCAACACAGTGAGATTAAACAGCCAAAATTTGGCCTTCTAGCTAGCTGCTGGTGTTGGTGTTAGGGATGCTAGGAGCTCCCTGTCTCCAGTTCTGGAGGGTTTCAGGCAGCCATGTCATTAAGAAATTAAAGGACAGATGCCGCTGCATTGCAGCAGCCTGTGGGGAGTTGTGTTCATATCAAGCAGAATCTGTTCCATTTTGATCTTAGGGCTGGCACTTTTCCTTTTGTGCATTTGCCAACAGCAGCCCAGTAAACATAGCTGTCAACAGCAACTGCCCTACTTTTCTTATTATCCAAAGCCTGAACCTTTCACAGGACGTGCTCAGGTGGGTGTGATACACAGCATGAGAACCCTGGCAGGTATCTCCATGATCAATTCTAGTTCATAGCATAGCAAAGGAATCCGACGTGTTACTGGGATTTTAATATCTGGTTGGCATGTCAGAATTACAGATTTTTAATGCATAAATAATCTGATGCACCTCAGTGCGTTACCATCTAGAACACTCCAGTGGTTACAGGCTGTTCTCAGGTCTGTGAATATGCTGCTGCTTTGTTTCCATCTGCCAGAGCAGCTTCCAAAGGATGCACTGAGACCATCCACTGATCTCCCTGGCTCCACGCCTTCTCTGAGGGACTGCCGAAGGTTAACTGAGCAGGACTGGCACTTGGTGGAACGAGGCCAGGAGGAGCTTGCAGCTCTCACTGGGTGGAAAGATGGGCTCAGTGAGCTGCGGTGCCTGGCACTGCTTGAAGCCGGAGGAATGCAGGGTGTTCAGCAGCATCAACAGAGCCCCGCTGGTGCTGGGAAGGCGCTCCGGAGGGAGGTGGGGGTGGCTACAGCTTGAGCCTCGCCTGCTGCAGCAGGGTTTGGTGAGTGGAAGTGGTTCTGGACAAAATGGTTTTGTCAGAAGGAACCACAGTATAGGGTCATGGACTCTGTGTCTCGGTCTCTGTGACCTACAGTTGTGAAGGCGCTGAGCTTAATTATGGAACCTGGAAAAGTCGAGAAAACTTCCCTCATCCTGCTGTCCCTTAGGATACAACAGGAAGACACAGCCAGGCAGATCTGGGGGATGCTGAATAGCCAGCTCAATCGTTACAAAGCCAACACAATGTTTCGTTTCCTTTTTTTGCTACAGAATAGTTTTTCTTATGATTTACACCCCAGTTTATTTCGGGCACTGAGTGAGGAGATTTAAGAAACCAGTCAGAATTTATTTTTCAGTTGTTAGTTCTGGGACCATAGAATGATAGAACAAAACAGTGGAGTAGAAGAAAGAAGGTGCTACGCATGAAATCTGAGTAAAGGGAGGAGTGTAGAGCCCATACAAAATAACCGCATAGAACAGACTCTGAAAGGTTTGGAACAGGCAGCAATAAGCTCAACATCAGTGTGATGGTTTGGGCTTCCGCAGAGGTAGCTGTTGGAGTGAAAAGAATGCTAAGCCAAATAAAGTAGCCTTTAATAGTGTGCTTCCCCCGCTCTTGTCAAGCCATCACCCCGAGCGTGCACACCAGCTCCCGTGACAATCCATCGCCTCGACGCTGTGGGTTCCTGAGATTGTATCGCGCTCTTCCTCCGCTTCTTCCAGGGCTTCCTGTGAAGCGCTGCCTGTGACTCCGAGTGTCCTGATCTTCAAAGCTCTCCTTGGCCCTGAGCCTACCCTGGGAGCCACCTACGTCCCAGATGTACTCCACCGCCACGGCTTATGCCCCTAGGACTCCCGAGAACTGTTTCTGCCTGGAGCAGCCTCTGTCTAAGCCTGAGAGGGATCCGGAAATCAGGTTCCCTGGTGGTTTTTAATCTAGCTGAATTTAAATCGTCTTCAGGCCCAGCTCTTTCCCCGAGGTGGGAG